TCCACTCCCCCCCCCGCCAGCCCTGCAGTGTTCTGGCCTCTTCCCTATCCTTCCCCTTTACCTTGGCCCTCTCGGCATCACGGGCCGACTGCCCCAGGAGGAAGACGGTCAGCGAGGGAGTCTTGGGCTTCTTGGAGATGTTGATCAACTCCTTGAGACGGGGCACACCGAGCGTCACGTTCTTGGCCGAGACACCGGCGTAATGGAAGGTGTTCAGGGTCATCTGAGTGGCGGGCTCTCCCAGGGACTGGGCAGCCAGCGCCCCCACCATCTCGCCTGGGTGAGCCTGGGGGGGGGGAGCAAAAGTAGCTTATGATGCCAGGTCTGGCTGCCAGGTCTGGCTACCAACTTGCCCAGAGGGTCTCCCCCTCCCCAAACATATGCAGTTTGCTTTCCACAGAGAAGCGCCATCTGCCAAAGCAAGGGAATTCAGAACACCGGAAAACGACTCCCCATCCCGGTGCCGTCTTTGCACAAACTGCTCATCTCAGACGGAACTGGGAAATACAAGCCCTACTGGAAGTCCGCCTCCCTCCTTCCAGCTATGTCCATTTTCCTTTGTATCCATGCTCTTGGTTCTGCAGTCCTGCCTCGGGCCCAGTTTGCCGTTTGCTTTTGTGGGGTCGTTATGCCGCAGTGCCCCCCCCCCTGCGCCACTCACGATGGCCTGGTTGAACTTGGACTCGATCTCCCCCAGCAGCCAGTCAAAGGCCTCCCCGCTGAGGCGGAACTCCTCGATCATGCGCCGGCTGCAGAGCGTGGAGCGCAGGTGGATGTTGAAGAGCAGCGTGGCGTTCTCCTGCGCCTGCTTGCTGAGCGGGTCGTCCCCGTTCACGATCACCAGCTTCTTGCTCAGTTCCTTCACACCTGCGTCCAGAGATGGAAGAAAGAGGGAAGGAGACCCGTGACGAAACGGAACGGGGCATTCTGGGGCACGGTGCCGCTTCCGGCCAGGATTAGCCCTCGCAGCTCACCGGCACCCTCCGATTAGCAGTCTCCGTTTTACACCCCCCCCAGCATTTGGCATTTGGCCCTCAAAGCCTCCCATCTGGCCCCCCACCCCACCCCGGAGACAGGCTTTTCCCAGCATGCCACTCACCGTCCACCACTTTGATGGGGTGCAGGTCGGAGGGCAGCCGTGTGTTGATGTGGAAGATTTTCTGGGCGTTCCAGATCATGCGCAGCAAGTTGCAGGGGAGAACCACCTGTTGCATCAAGAGTGGGGGGGGGGTCAGTGCAGCAGCGGGAGGGGGGGGCTTAGGACCCACCACTCCTTCCACCAGCTGCAGCCTCTGTGACCTTTGGCCAGCCTCACACTCCTTTCACCTGTGGTAGGAGCAATGCTCCTTCTAAGCCCTGAGCAAAAATTCCACTTTGTGAGCGACTGGCATTAAAGTTGTGAGTGCATAATTCGGCTGCTGCATAAATTACCGTATTTTTCGGCCCATAAGACGCACCTGACCTTAAGACGCACCTAGTTTTTAAAGGAGGAAAACAGGGAAAAAAATATTCTGAACCTTTGGTCCATAAGACGCACTGACTTTTCCTCCCACTTTTTTTGGAAGAAAAAGTGAGTCTTATGGTCCAAAAAATACGGTACTTTGCTCCGGAGCCATCCCTTCCTGAGCCGAGACAAAAACCTGTGAGCCGGAGGCTAAAAAAACTGTGAGCTGGCTCACACGAACTTAGCTTAGGGGGGACACTGGGTAGGAGTACCCCAGCTGGGGAGGTGCCCGCCAAGTGTTTTTAGAAAGCAGGCAGGCCAGGCGGGGCTTCTGCCCAGCAAAGCTCCTGATGGGCTGTGCAGATTTTCAAAAGGACAGTGCTTCGGGCATCACCTGCCGCCGCGGCACAAGGATCTTTTAACTCTTTGACCGAAGGTCAGCTGCGGCGGCCATTTTGCGGCTGGCTCTTCCTCCCGTGGCAGCCATTTTGTGGCTCTGCTCACCGCAGCATCAGGACACCAGAGGTGCCCACAGGCTCAAAGAGGTTAGGGACCCCGTGGCCAACTTTGGAATTCTGACACTTGGGCGTACTCGGGGACATGGGCACACCTCCCTCAGGCATCAGCAATGCAGCAGGGAAGGAGAAAGAAGAGGAGGAGAAGAGATTGGATTTCTACCCCGCCCTTCACTACCCAAAGGTGTCTCAGAGCGGCTCACAATCTCCTTTCCCTCCCCCTCTCCACAACAGACACCCTGTGAGGTGGGTGGGGCTGAGAGAACTCTGACACAAACTGCTCTTTCAGGAACAGCTGTGCCAGAGCTTGACTGACTCAAGGCCACATCAGCAGCTGCAAGTGGAGGAGTGGGGAATCAAACCCGGTTCTCCCAGATTAGAGTCCGCGCACTCAACCATGACACCAAAGGGGGCTGGCAGCAGCTGCCAGGAGAACACGCAACTCTCTCCTTCCGGGCAGGAAAAAAGGGGGGGGGGGTTGATCAAGAGAGAGCGGCCAAACGGGTTTCACCATTGGAGGCCTTTATAAATCCCACTTTATTTACTAAAGAACAACTGTGGAGATATGAAGATGTATTAGATAAGGAAAATAACTTGAAGTCACAAGGTATTCTACTAAGACAGGGTATCTATTTAAACTGGTGGGAAAGGGCGCAACTTGACTCTAGATATGTAAAGGATAAACAAACTGGTTTTCATGATAAATCCACAGAATTAGATAAAATTGGTTATGTGTAGATGGAAAATTCATAAAGTCATTTTAGACTTTGTTATTAGATACTAAAACGCAAAGTAAAAGTTTCTATGATTAAATGGGCACAAAATATAGGGCATAATATACAGTTAGATCAATGGAGTAAGGTATGGAAAACAAATACAGGATTTACAAAATCTATACCGTTTAAAGAAAATATATATAAAATGTTTTATAGATGGCATACGATGCCAGAAAACTTGGCAAAATGGTATCCAAATATGTCAAATGTATGTTGGAAACGTAAGCAGTATACTGGTTCTTTCTTTCACATGTGGTGGACTTGTAACATTGCAAAAATTTTCTGGAAAGAAATACATCAAAAATGCAGAACATATTAAAGTTTAAATTCCCAGTGAAGGCTAAGAGCATGCTATCAGGTGCTCTGCCTAACAAATTACCAACAAATCTAGAAGATTTTCAAATCTAGAAGATATTCAAATACATGATGACAGCAGCTAGAATTACCTACACAGCAAAGTGGAAATTAGCTATCTGTTCACGTTGTAGAGGAAACAGCGGAAATGGATAAACTAACTTTACAATTACAAGATAAAAAAGAAGACGTTTTGAGAAGAACTGGTCAAGACTCTATAAATGGATCGAGGGTTATCTCGCAAAACGTGGTATATAATACTTAAAACATAAGCTCTACTCGTTAAATGGTTAAACTGGTCTAGGTGCATAACAGAATGATTCTATTTATGTAAAATGTAAGTAGTTACAATGAGTACAGACTCCATATTCGTTGTATGTTAGTCATTCTTTGTTTGTGTCGTCTTTCTTTCTTTCACTCTTGAAAAACTAGTAATACTTTTTTTTTTTTTTAAGAGAGATCGGCTCCCCCGGCCACACTCCGTAACAGGAACACAGACGCATTAGAAAAACCTGTAGCCTGATCTTGTCCCAGCACCCCTCCTCCCCCCCAGCTCTCCTCCGGGCACCAAGAGAGAAACGGGCAGGGCCCCACTCACCTTGCTGTCTCCGGTGGGGAAGATGACCCTCAGCACCTCCCGGTCCTCCCTCATCTTCTCAAACTCCCTCTCCAGCTCGTTCTGGATGTGTGCGTTGCTGAGGATGTCCTTCACCATCTCCTCCTGCAGGGTGCGCCGCAGGGCCCGCTCGTTGGTGTAGTCGAATTTGAACCTGAGGAACAGGAAGGATGAGGCGGGTTTCTTCCTCAGCCTGTGGGCGTCCATGACTCTGGACACCCAAATTCTCCCTCAGAAGAACAGGGACGATCCCCAACGGAGGACTGTGGGGCTTTTGTATGCACCAGAACTACTAGTGGTTTGGGGTTTTGGGGGGGGAGGGTGTGTGCTCTGAAATAAACGTCTTTCCCAACTCCACAGCACATTTCTTATCCTGTCTTTCCTACAAAGTGCTCAAGGCAGAATGCACAGTTCTGCTTGTCTCATTTTGTTGAAAGCCAGTTTGGTGTAGTGGATAGGGGTGTGGACCAATGT